ATTGCTACAAATTTCAACAAGTGAATTAGGAATAATCTCGGCTTTTTCTTTGCCCCCAATGTGAAGCTGAGTTTGACTTGGGTTCATATTAATTATGTCTTCAATAAATATCAATGCATAACTTTCTTAATCATGTGTGTTGAAAGAATTCTGAAAGGACTTTATTGATGATATCGGCCAAAATATGATGTACATCTAATGATAGAAAAATTTCAAATTACAAGTATTCCAAGGTCTGGGCAGTGCTTTGCCCTCATTGTCCTCAAGCCGATATGCTCCATTGCCTAATATTGAAGTAATTCTGTAGGGTCCTTCCCAGTTTGGGCCAAGCTTGCCTTCCCTGGGGTCCTTCTTGTTTCCGACGACTTTTCTCAGGACTAGGTCGCCGACTTGAAAATCTCTTGGATTGACCTTCTTGTTGTAGGCTCTGGCAAGCTGTTGCTGGTATACTGCAAGCTGAATGGCAGCTTTCTCTCTTCGTTCTTCTAATAAATCCAAATCTCGGGCCAAGAGTATGTCATTGGTGTCATTCTCTACTCCCTGGGTTCTGATCCCTGGGATGCCGATCTCTAATGAGATGACTGCTTCTGTGCCATAAGCCATGGCGAAGGGGGATTCTCCTGTTGATCTTCTCGGCGTAGTCCGATATGCCCAAAGTACATTGGGCAATTCATCTACCCATTTTCCTTTTGCTGCCTGTAGCCTTTTCTTTATTCCATCCAGAATTACTTTGTTGGATGCCTCTGCTTGCCCATTGCTTTGGGGAAAACTTGGTGTTGAGAAATAATTCTTGATCTTGAATTTTGCACAAAAGTTCTTAATGAGCTTGCTGTCAAACTGTGTTCCGTTGTCGGCAACTATTGCTCTTGGAATCCCAAATCTGGTGATAATGTTTTTCCATATAAAATTCTTGACGTCCACATCTCGGATTTTGGCAAGAGGTTATGCCTCTATCCATTTGATGTATCAAAGGTGCAAACCTTTGGCATTGTTCGCACTTCTTCACATAGGCTTCGGCATCCTTTTGCATGTAGGGCCACCAATATCCCTGGGTAATGGCCCTGTGGGCTAATGATCTGCCCCCAGCATGGCTTCCACAAATTCCTTCATGAATCTCGTAAAGAAAGTCTTCAACCTGCAAAGGGTGTACGCACCTTAAAAGTGGTCTAGTGAAGGACCTCCTGTAGAGATGGCCTTCTGCTGTTAGACTGTATCTGGCTGACTTCAGTCTAATTTTATGTGCTTCCTTATGGTCTTCTGGTAGCTTCTCCTCTTTTAGGAATGCAATGATTGCATCCATCCAGCTTGGTCCCAAGTCCACGCACATTGCTTCTTGTTCGGTGTTCTGTTTATCTATGCTCGGGGCCGACATGTAGTCGATCATAATTGTCCTTGTTTTTCCAGTTTGAATTGAACTGGCCAGGTTAGCCAACGCGTCGGCGTGGGTGTTGTCATCTCGGCTAACTTGGAGTAATCTGCAGTTCTGAAATAGGGCCGCCAGTCGGATAACTTCCTTTGCATATGCCGACATTCTTTCGTCTTTGGCTGCAAACTCTCCTGTTGACTGGTTAACAATGAGTTGTGAATCACAAAAAACAATTACCTCGTCTGCCTCTGCTGCTGCTGCTAGTTTTAGCCCTGCAATTAATGCTTCATATTCTGCTTCATTGTTGGAGGCTTTGAACCCCAGACGGATGGACTGTTCTACAATTTCTCCATCTGGAGATATCAGCAGTACTCCTGCTCCTGCTCCCTGGCGGTTTGAACTTCCATTGACGAATAGTCTGAATGAATCGCCGATGTAGATGCTGCATGGTCTGAGCTTTTCTTTCTCTTGCTTTTTTGTCTTTGACTGGGATTCTTTTTGCTTGTTGGGGCAATGCTCATATTGGCTTGACGGAGCCCGAGATGTGATGGCTTCAGGTGTGAGTTCTGCGACGAAGTCGGCCAAAACTTGGCCCTTTATTGCTGTTCTCGGTCTAAACTCTAGGTCAAACTGGCCCAGTGTTACTGCCCATTTTGCTATCCTTCCTGTTAAGTCTCCTTGATGCAACAAGGATTTCAGTGGGTGCTCTGTTAGGACCACAATCTTGTGTGCCTGAAAGTAATGGCTCAATTTCTTTGAAGCCATTACCAAGGCTAGCATTAATTTTTCCAATGGTAGGTATCTTGTTTCTGCGTCGGCCAAAGTTTTACTTACATAATAAATAGCCTTTTGTTCTCCTTTTTCCTCTCGGATTAGCACTGCACTGACTGCGTGTTCTGAGACTGCTAAGTACAAAAATAGTTCCTCCCCTGGTACTGGGTTGGAAAGAACCGGAGTTGTGGTCAAGTACTTTTTTAGGTCGGTTAAGGCGGCTTCACATTCCTCTGTCCATAGGAAGTCCGTGGCTTTTTTCACCAGGTTGAAGAAGGGTCTGCACTTATCTGAGCTTTTGCTGATGAATCTGTTTAGGGCTGCGGCCCTTCCAGTAAGAACTTGAACTTGCTTTGCCGATGTCGGGCTCTGTAAGTCCAGGATGGCCTTGATTTGGTCTGGGCTGGCCTCAATGCCCTTTCTTGTTACCAGATATCCTAAAAATTTACCTGATCATACCCCAAAGGTGCATTTTGAGGCGTTGAGTCGGAGCCGATATCTTTTGAGTATGTGGAAGACCTCTTTTAGGTCGGCAAGATGACCCTTTGATTCCTTTGTCAAAATGAAGCTTAAACATATGATAAATCAGCCCAAAAATAACAACAAATCAACCCAAAAACGACAGCAAAACAGCCCAAAGCAGCAATGTAACAGCAGCAACTCAAAGCTGCAGCAAAAAGAGAGCAGCCAACTGAGGGGCCGGTCGATCGGTCGGTTGACTGATCGGACGACTAGGCGATTAACCGGTTAGGCCAATTTTCAGCAAACTTTTGCTTCTCTGCAGGGACATCCGGGTGGACATTCGAGAGGACATTGGGCGGATGACCGGTGGGTAATTTCAGCTCTGCTTCGCTCCGGTTGTCAAACCAACAGTATGCTCGACAACCGCGGTAGTCATCCTTGACGACCGGGACTTGACCAGACATCTGGGAGGATGTTCGGGCGGACGACCGCCAAGAACAAAACTTCATCTGGAACATCTGGGTGGACGACCACTCTGTATTGTAACAGCTCTTTTTCAAATGTTCTTGTCATTAATCGGACCCATCTTTCAACATCTAATCATGTATGGGAAATGCAAGTTTGAGTAGAGTAGAGTAGATTTAACCAAAATCTCACTCAATCTTCTCAACACAAGCAATAGACAACGGTCGATGAATTTCTCCTTAATAAATAGAAGTGCTTATGCTGAAGAAAGACAGCAACAACACAAGTAAGAAAATATTTCTGATCTTTCATCAATCTCATTTTCTTTGATCATTTGGGAAGTTCTTTATCTGGTTTTCATTTTTCTCTCAGAAATTATATATTGAGTCTTATAGCTTTGAGCCCATTTACTTGTATGAGGTTTACTGATACACATACAGAGCTTCAACATTTTATAGCTATCTTTGAGAAATTATCCTTGTAGCTTTCTTTGAAAACAAAAGCACCTTTATTAAATCTTGTAAGAGTGTGGTACATTCAGTGTTCTTGATTCCTTGAGAGTGATTGAGAATTATCTATAAAGTGCAGGGTTTAGGACTTGGAAAGTCTATGTAAAATTTGTGGAGGTTTGCTCCATTTTGTAAAGAGGTTACTAGTACTCTTGTAAAGCTAGAAGATAGTGAAAAATCTCAAGTGAAACTTGAGGAGTGGATGTAGGCTTGGTTAAAACGGAATCACTATAAATCTGTTTGTTTCTTCTTCCCTAATCTCTTTACTTAACAGATATAACTATTTACTGTGATTAACTGCTTACACTGATAAAGTTGTTCATTGTGATTAATCATTAATTGTTATTCATCAATTTATCCTCAGTTAATCATTTGTTGTACTAGTTATTTTTATTGGGGGATTATTAATTTTTATTTATAGAAATCCAATTCACCCTCTCTTGGATTGCCGTTTGGGTAATAAATTTATTAATTTTTTAAAATATTTGTTTTACAAATATAATTAGTTTTTAAATACATCTAAGTAAGGTGCATTTAAAAAATAAAAAAAATTACTTAAAATTTTAGAAATATTCACTAAAAATAAAGAAACACAAAAAAATAAAAAATTTAAATTTAAAAAAATTAAATCTAAAAAAATTAAAATCAAACACACTAAATAATATTTTAAAATAATAATGATTTGTCTAAATTGTAGGACCTACTAATTTTATATTAAAATTTTAAAAGACAATTAATTAAATGTCAATGTTCAATAATTTATCTACTATGTTTTTGACAAACATAGAAATTAAATAATTTCTCGTCCATGTTGATAGTTCTACTTTGGCTCGGTTTGGTAGAGTTGTGGGAAAGTGATTATAAATTATAGCTTAACAGATTATAATTTACAGCTGTAAACATAAGCTGGTAACTTGTTTGGTGCAGCTGTGAGATTATGGATTTAAGCAGCAGAGTAGTGTTTGATAAATAAGCTGTAAAATAGCTTTTTGCTGTATAATTGTCATTTTTGCCCTTATGAAAATAAAAATTATAATTTTGTCATTTTCTTCATTTTAAATTTTGAAAAAGTTATTTCATTAATGGAAGTTAATATAATTAGTACCTAATTTGGTACATTTTTCCGTTACCTCAAATTTTTTTTTTTTTAAATTTTAATATTGAGTTCACAAGAGAAGCCTAGCCCTTACTCATAATTTCTTTTGTTATACCTCATATTATATTTAATTATGATATATATATATATATATATATTTAATTATAAGATATATATGGTTCCTACATAGCGTTTTCTCTTCGTATTTATACTTTATAACCTGAATGCTATTTGATCAAATTGGATAAACTTGTGATGAGAGCAAAATTAGCAAATAAAATAAAATAGAGAAACAACTAGAGGACATTAAAATGGATAATTGCCAGAAAAATCATCAAAACTTTTTCCTTTTTAAAGGTAACAATAAAAGAACAAAACTTTGTGGCATAGCCTCAACAATTCATATAGGAACACGAAAACAATACTTCTATCAAACAAGTTTTCATGATTTTTATTTTTTTTTCTTTTCAAAAAACAAAAAGCTATAACAAACATCCCCTAAATTTGGCAGTAGCTGAACAATACAATCAAATTTAAATTCCATCTCTGAGTAGTCTTGAGAAAATTGTTGATGCTATTTGCTAAGCAAACCAAACATATTATCTCCATTAGTTTCTCTTCACTCCCAACAATTATGGAAGGCAGAGAAGCTGTGAGCTCTGTGTATGTTGAAGTAGGCCTTGCTAGATCAAACTAAGACCTGAAATCCATGTCCGCTATCAACCTCTCTGTTTCATCACCACCACCATTGTTGTCCTTCATCAAAACATATATATATTCATAATCACCTGTAAATTCAAACACTTCATGAACACAACACCACACGCATATCAGAAATGGGTCCTTACCAAAATCCACAGAGAGAGAGATGAGAGAGAGAAAGAGACCTGAAGGGCGACCAATGGTTGCAGGCCAGGAAGTTCTACAGAGAGAGGCTTCAAAACCATCCCTAATAAGCCTCAGGACAATCCATGTTAATGCTAAGTCCAAAAACATGCAGCACCATTAATAGGTACTATGGTATTATATCAATGAATGTTGTTATCCAGCAAGCTAGCAGATTGGGTTATGATAACAGCACAAGTCCAAAGTAGTGGTTGGATTTCAGATTTGATAACAACACATGTCCAAAAACACATTGACAACCTAGTTTTTTATAAGTTTTTTCGGAGTTCTATAAGCAACTATTAAGTTTTTTATTATACCTTTTACCTAACCTCAATCAATGAATATCACAACCCAGTTTTTTATTATACTTTTTACTTAACCTTAATGAATGAATATCACAACCCAAGTCAACTCACATAATTATAAACTCTTTACTAGCAAGATTCTTATATGAAAACATAGACAAAGTGAATAATAAAAAAAGAACTTGCAAATTGGCACTACAATCTAGATGCCATATATCCAAATTCCTCTCTATCAAGAGACCTAAATGCCTTACTACAAGTAAAGGTGAACTACATCCTCTAAGCTAGGTTACTCCACAGAAATAAATTACAAAGTAGTCTCCGAAAATCCTCAAACATGTCTTTAAACTTTTACTACTTGCCTAGCCAAGTGACATCACTTGAAAAAATTCTATTGCAAAAGAGATAGTATCGCTCATTTTCAGTTTCAATCTATCAAAGGTTCGCTAAGCCAATTTAATTGATATATAGGCATCAATCAAAAAACAAAACACGATAAACACAAATTAGAAAATATAGCCATCCACAATTGGCATTTGGCCTACTTGAAAAAACTTATAATGCTTTCTCTGTGTGAGGAAGTGTCTCAAGCTTGAGTCTCATTCAGGAAGAATTTTTTTAACCAATGTAGAGGAATTTATTTATTTATTTATTTTAGAAAAAAAAAATGGACAGATGATACTCCAAGTAAATTTCACAAGCAAGAAATTAGGTGAATCATCAAGTTAATTGCTACTATTACTACTACTAGTACTTTAAAAGTAGAAATGATTGACAAAAGAAAAAGAAAAGAACATTTGAGGTATCTTTTAACATTGTAATGCTTACTTACGAATTGGTTGAAAATGGAATTTGAACTCTACAAATAATCGATTAATTCAACTAATACAAAAATGTCACATTTGAACTCTTTTAAACCATTCCACATAGTTATGAGCGCAATCCACAACAATTTTTTAATTCAAATCCTTTACTTTAACAGAAAGGCATGGAGTTCTCAAAGACTGCATTTCCTTTGTTCCAAAAAGGCCAGTCAACCAAAAGTTGAGAAGATTTGTCATAGATATTCCCTACTGTATGTATCCACATGATCCTATCATGAGTAACAGAATAGAATGGAAATTCAAATTCCAAATCCCCAACCCCTGGTGAGCCCATGCCCCCCTTGTTAGGCATTAGTGAAGTCAACTCAAACCATAAAAATTATAGTTATGCAATATAAATGGTGAAAATGGGCAATAAAAAGCATCATGTGAATAATTAGAACTAGCTAATTAAATAGATTAATCCACTTGGTAAATTTTAATTGCTAATTTGTTTAAGAGTTTGGCCTATTCACCCCCTTCTAGGCACAAACATAATTGTTTCCGCATTTTTAGCGAATAACACTACAAGCGTAAATACATGTATATATCATACAGAAAAACTAATGAGCATGTATGGAAAATAATTTTTAGCATTAACCCACAAATATATTCCTTGCAATCCACAAAGTCAACCAGAGCTGAACAACCAATTAAACTAACATGATTCAAAGGTTAGTGTAGTTTTAAAAAATGGTCATTTTTGGATCTTTTTTCTTTGAAATTTGATTTTGTAAAGTAGATTTTGCCCAACATATACAGAAAGAAAACAATTATAAGAGCTCAGTCAGTTACATGGAACCAAATTTATGCATTTAAAATTGAAAAACATCTAAGGATTAAATAAATAAATAATAGATCACAGTAAAAGGTGGGTTTTCAACCGTAATCAAAGAGTGAAGAAGAGAGAGGCGTTTTCAACCCTAATCACAGCGTGAAGAAGAGGGACATTTCGTAGTAATTAGAGAGAGAAATCTTATATATATATATATGTATTGTATATAACTTCTCAGTCATGAAATCAACCCTAATCGATGTCCATATACATATATGTATATATATATATATGTGTGTGTGTGTATTTGTATATATCACAGTCATGAAATGTTACCTTTTTGATGCAGATGAACGAAAAATAGGGGACAACTGTTCTTGGAGAGGTAGACGATGTTCTACAAGCACCGATCTACTGCGATCAAGAAGCGGACGACTGTTCTTCTCAGTTGCTGGAGAGGAGAGCAGAAGAGAAGAGAAGACTATGAGAAACGAGAGTGTGTTTAGGGCAACAGAGATAACGGGTATATATAATGGCAGTTTTGTAAATATTGAAGTTTGGAAGGGACATTTAAGTCATTTAACCCCCCAATCCTAGCTGCGCGCTTAAGTCGAAATCCTTAAGCACTCCATCACCAACTTTTGATATAAGTTGAAAAATAACTTAGTTTAAGCTACAAGTTGGTAACTTAAGCTGTACCAAACACACTATTTTAACTTAAATTAAGTTAAAAGCTGAAATAATTAGCTTATAAGCCCTACCAAATAGGCCTTTTGTTTGGCAATCAAAATGGTCAAAAAGATAAAAAGATTTTCCGACTGCCACCATGTGTATTGACAACTGTAAAAGAAAAAGCTGCAACATTCAAATGAATGAGAATCATGTAGTTTTTTTTGGTGATCAAAATGGTTAAAAAGATAAAAGAGCAAGCCCCGGTTTGGTTTTCTTATTCGGCTAAATAATTATATATAGACAAAAATAATAATAATAATAATAATAATAATAATAATAAACTTGTGACATTTTTATTGTCTTAAGAGACAGTTACATGGATTTCAATGATTAAGGTGATGTTTGGTTATTATTTTTGGCTAAATAATCATAAAAGGACAAAAAAAATTTAAAAAATCACAAAAAAGATAAAAATCACAAAAAGACAAAAAAAAATCTACCATTCCAAAGTTAAAAAGTCAAAAAAGTCAATCAAGAATACCAAAAGAACAAAAAAGTCCCAGGCTAAAAAAGTCAAAAAATTAAAAAGCCAACTAAAAAAGTCATTGCCAAATGAACCCTAAATTATAGCATCCGCATAAGTCTTAGCAAATTTTGAGTCAAATTATAATCTAAAATCTACTTTTATATTTTAGCTAGTATCTTTTTTTTATATACACACTCCATCAAACTCTCAATTCTAAAATTCTATTTCATTAAAATATTATTTTTTATTCTTTTATCTTTTTCAAACCAGTGCACTAGAGTAGCAGAATCACCCGGCCATTGGTTTTGTGACTTGGCTAGATTTCATTTCGGACATCAGGAGGACGATTGGCCATGGCATTTTGGCCCAGTTTCGCTTCAATTCAGTTCTACTTCGCACCGGCATCAACTAATACATGATTGAGAGAGAGAGAGAGAGAGCTTGATGAACTTGCAAGATGGTAAGAATGAAATTTGTGAGATGGCTCTGGTAAGTGTTGACAGTAATGGTGGTATGGGAGATGGTGTTATTGTTAGGGGGAGAAAGAAGCGCAGGAAAGAAAATAAAATAAAAAATAAATTAACCTATGAACAGTGTCTCGTCTAATTAGGTGAGACACTGTAGCAAAGTCAAAATGAATGGTTGCTATAGAGAGCCTGATGGAGCACATATTTATAGCTTTTGCTCTCTACAATAGCTTCAACGCTATTGTAGAGAGCCTGATGTGGATGCTCTTACACTCACCTCTTTCTGATAATTATAAGGATATCTTATAATTTTAATAATTACAAAAACTATTCTTACTTTTAAAACTATTATTAAAATTTCTTTATCGTTAATCTTCTATTAATTTATTTAACAGAATATGATGATATCATGCTGACGTCATATACTACAAGTAAAAAATTTCAAAATTACCCTTATATATTCAAATAGTAAATTTCATTCACCTCTTTTGAGGTTTTACAAAAAATTAATAAAGACCCACATTATTTTAATAATGTTAAATAAAATTATCATATTCCATACAATATTTAAAAAAATTCTAAATTGTTAAGACAAACATATATATAGTAGAATAACCAAACATTATTTATCCCCCCCCTCCAAAAAAAAATAAAAAAAATAGAGTTAATAAATTGATAACCGTTAAACCTTATACTAGATTAAATACAATCATTTATTTGAAAATTACGAAACAAAGTATAAAAGATGTTTTATTTTTTAAGAAGGCCACCAATTTTAAAAATAATTATATTGAGAAATTAGAGTTTTAATAAAAATTTAAAAATACATATAGGTATTTGATTTTTTGTTGTATGAAAAATACATATTTGGAGAAATTATATAGCGATCCCGATTTTTCCTTCCTTTGTTTATTGTATTCCGGACTTGGTTCCGTGGTTATGTTGTTGTCTTATTCTCATTTTCATCCTTTACTTTTTGTATTTGAGTCTTGGGTTATGTTGGGTAGGTTTGAAACAGGTTGGCTGTGTTTAGAAACCTAGAGTTGATGCCCACATTTTGGCCTTCACGCTCGAGCGGGGCTTTTGACGCTCGAGCGGGCCATTTGTTGTTGCTTCTCCGCTCGAGCGGGCGTTTTGACGCTCGAGCGTGAATATTTATCTCCCAGTATTTTGTCTCTGCAAGTCGTCGTATGCTCGAGCGGGAGTTTTGACGCTCGAGCGGGATCTTTTGTTTTTGTTCCTCCGTTCGAGTAGAGAGTCTGACGCTCGAACGGAGACCATGGTCTGCAAAACTTCTAGAAGTATGCAATCGACGCTCGAGCGGGGAGTTCCACGCTCGAGCGGGGCGACGTGTATATCAGTTCGAAGTTCGAATTTTTGGATCACTTTTTCAACTCCTTTTCTCTCTCTTACTTTTCAAAACCTCCATTGGAGTGCCTCTCTCTCTAAAACACTTCTCTCTAGGGTTTGATCTAGTAGGAGTGATCCTCTACAATTGGGCCTTTGTAAAAAGTGTTGATCTCGTTGTGGGCTACATTTTGATCCGAAAATCTTGGGATTTGGAGCATCTCGAAATTCTTCATTTTCTCCCTTTGAGCTCCGAATTTGAGGTAGGGATAACTACTCATTCTTATGGTCTTTGACATAAATTTTTAGTCATTTTGATATAATGTTGATGTTGGGTAATTTTGGGTGTTAGGGTTTTCAAAATGAGAAAGAGGGATTTTGTTATTTTGGCCCACACTTGTGTATTTTGGGTCATGAATGAGGGTATTGATGTTATTGAAGATATTTTGGGCCTTTGGGTCAATATTGAGAAAGAGGGAGAAAAGCCCTAATTTGATGTTATGAATTAATTTATATAATTAATTTGGGAATGTTATGGAAATATGAAATTGAGTTGGGAATGAGTAAATTGGCTCATTATGAGATAGAATGGTG